ATTGCTTTGGGGGGGATGGGGGATAATAAATAAATAAATAAATATACATTTATATAGCACCATTTTCCACTAATTGTCCACTAATTGTTCCATTTTATTCTGTCCAAGATTGTAGATATGTATTTTGACTCGTTAGCCTTCGACAACAAGTAACTAAAGCCTGCGTTATCAGGAAAGAATGTTTCGTAGCTCGGCGACGGCAAACGGTCGTGAGTTGTGGTAAGAAAACAGATCTTCCGTGTAGTTCGGCAAATGGCCATGATGACCCTCAGATCTGTGTTAAGAAAATAAATTTTCCGATTTGTCAGCAAATTCGTTCTGACCATAATTGGTTGTCAGAAAACAAATTTTCCGTGTTGTGTAACTCGCCAAAAGCAATTCGCATAACGAATAACACAACCATTGGCTCTTATAGTCGTGCAATTTTCTATTTTCATTTACTCCAATTCTCAACCAAGACTTGGAACAGGGAAAATTAATGGCGGCCGTAAATTCTCGAAAATAAAAGTCCAAAACCGTGAGTTCTAATCTTCGTAATAGATTGAAATTTCGCAAGATATCTAGGGGAAGACCCATTGTATACGACAATGTAAAAAAATGGATATCGAGAATTGGATCATAGTGACACTTTAAGGGCCCATTAACCGATCTTTTCGAGGCGTTGCTAAGGAAAATTTATACTCATATTACCTCATCATTTTTAGTTAGTTCAGAGTCATTTCATGTGTTTTAACTTTTTCATGATTAGTAACACGAGTGATGACGTCATCAGGCCACGCCCATGGTCATGTGACTAATACTGAAAAAACGCAAGGGCTCCCAGGCAAATTAGTCTATCGGGATTTTTTTCATTGATTTAATATTTTACTTTAAATCCTCATTACGCTATGCATAGATTTTGTTTCATTTCTAAAAGGTCAGATTTTGAGAGAATTTCAAAATATTAAAAAATTTTCTGAAAAAAGCATGATTTTGAAAAAAAGGAATGCATAGCTATCCTTCCAACGTTAGCTTTGACCGAAATCCGTCGAAAAAGGCTGGATTTAAGGAAAAACCGCGTTTCCTTTAGCATTTAAAGAAACCGGAAGTGCGCCCGATTTATATTGGAAGTTACCCTATCAGCGCGTGCGCAATTGACACTACCAGCACACTTCGGTAAGATCAAACAAAGCCACACGGAGTTAGTTTTTCTCTTTCTATTGCTCTTGTTTTTCTGTCTTTCTCTCATTTTGTCTTCGCTTGCACTTTTTTTACTTTGCATTTTGTGAAACACAAAGAAAAACATCTAACATGTGAGCGAATTTGGAAGTTATTGAGTTATTCGCTCAGGTTGACGTAAGTAACCGGAAGTGAAATTTCACCTCCTTAGCAACGCGCGCGAGCGCGCGCATAAATCGGTTAATGGGCCCTTAAGGATGAATAATAGACCTTACCAGCATTCTACTTCAGTGCGTACGAACAATAGTACGAGAGTGACTTTGGAGTGGGCATTTTCATACGTTTTCTGTAGTTTTGTCCACCCTGACCTCGACTTTGCGCCATAAAGTCCATCGTTTGGTGGAATGCAGGAAAGGTCTATATCTGATTCGTCAAGAGAGATTGGGGAGATCAAAATCTACATATTGTTTTCACATAATTTAATACCGTCAAACAAAAATCCAGGTAATGGGAAATAGTCTTGACCACAGTTAGTAGGGGGTCCAATAACCTGTGAACAGTCTCCGGATGGAAGGATCTGACCGCGGTTGGAAGGACCGAAAAGGAACTGGCTGAGAATGAAGAGGCCGAGGGAGAAATGGGGTGGGGGTTGGGGCACCCCTCCCATCTCTCCACTCCTCTCTCTTCTATCCTCTTTCTTTCCCCTTTCTCTTCGCCTCATCCTCTATTTGAGAGCCTATTTGCAGGCTTAGGGTCTTTGGGGGCACTGCCTTTGTCTTGACCTTCTCAGTGTCAAGGTTAGTGAAGAGCTCTTAACTACTGTTTTTAATAAGACGACCACTTACCAGGTTTTACAAATCGTGCGCATTGCTCGATCGCCCCAGGTTTCACCTGCCCGTAAACTATGGTGCCCGCGCATAACACGACGTCATATCCAGCGGTTTCCACCTCCTTCATGTAAGTGTCCGTCAAGGGAGCACAGATCAGTTTCTTGTAAAGGTTCTTAGATGCAGCTAAATTGAGCATTTGCTGAGAAATGTCCAGCGCTTCAACATCGGTGTATCCTCGAGCCTTGAGCATTTCTCCAACACCACCTGTACCAGCGCCAACATCAAGGATTTTCATGTTCTTTCTCGGGTTGGGGTAGACATCTTTGCGTTGCATGGCGCGATCGAATGCCTCCACGCACAGTATGTGGCCTTTGTAACCCGTGTTGTGGCTAATCTGCAAAAAAAATCCTCGTTAGCATTGCTTTCAAGGCGTTTTTAAAAGTTGGTTTTCACGAGCGCGAAAGCACAACCCTAATTAATCAACATACGCAGACCAGATGAGCTGTTGATAATTTGTGCCTTTTGTTAAGAAAAAGTTCCTCTAAATGGCGCTACTAGACTGCTACTTAACAGCACCTTGCGTTGGACTGCTTATGCCTATGTGCTAGTGAAAGCCAGCCTTTCATTATTATCGTCCTAAAAGGGGCTTTTCAGGGGTAATTAAACAAATCGCTACAAACGATTAAAAAACTACACATTTGGGGGTCGAGTAAGACATAAAAGGGTCCTTTAGTTTGGACCACGATTACAAGACTGAGTATGAGTACGATTTTCGAATTTCAAATCAGTGACGTTTCCAGAGCCCTCGCTCTTCATGTTGGTGTTAGGTAGAGAGGGTAGCTGATCATGATGTGATGAGATGGATATGTGACGTGATAAAGTGGAGCCTGAAAATAAGCATTGAAAAGTCATTCTCGTACTCAATATCGTATTCGTACTCAGTCCCCGAAACATTTAGAATTCCAACGGGCAGGGAGGGACGAGATAGCTGTTTTACAAGCGTGGCTGAGAACTGGAACTCGGATGAAAAAACCCCAACTGGTCGTCAGAACGAGGCTTGAACTGCGCTACCTCGCGCTCGACAGCGCTGTCTCCCCACCCTGTGCTAACCACGTGACCTCTCAGCTTCCTAAACCTATCCTAACCCCGTGACAGCTCTGCTTCGTGACCCAACCCTTACCACTCGACCACGCGGCCTCCTGTAATGTTCCATGTATATTTACCTTTTCCCAACAAGGGGCCATTTCATCGTATGCCAACTTTGATTCTTCCAAGGACGAATTTGCGTCTAATTTCAAGAATCGCGGGGTGTATTTAATTTCTGCCGTCATGGTACAAGTTATGTGACTTCTTTGAGTATGACTGGAAGAAGCAACAACAACAACAAGAGATCAAACATGTCCTAAGATTTCCTTTTCATCGTAAAACTTTTAAAATCGTTCACAACCTGAAACGCTCAGTTGGTACCAAGAAGAGGAGGTTTTTATGTCCAGATTTGAAACTCAAAACATCACTGTAAAAAATTGTGATTACGTTAGCAACATCAATTTCGGACACACCAAACTGTTTCTAGAATTTGCAGATTAAGGTAGAAAGTTTGATGGCATTTTCTTCGCAGTATTCTAAAAAAAGCTATTTACGTTTATCAACGTAATATATCAAACTCCAAAGACCTTGTTTGACCGCATCTCCAAATATCAAGAAGAGAGTTGAAAATACGACGCGCAGCGGAGTATTTTTGAAGAACCCTGAAATGTTTGGAAATATTGTCAACCACAGTCCGAGTGAGAGTTTGATATATCTTCTCAATCAAAACTAAAACTAAGAGGAAAACGGAGAAACAAAATCGTAAAAATCTATGTCAATTGAGGCTCCGGCGTTTTCACTCCGAAAACGCATCAAATGTTTTCCGTCCACATTACGCTGAAGAAATTTGAAAATGCAACAATCACCGGTCATTTTCGATTTGTGCTTGAGGAAAACTTGGGCAGGAAAATCACATGATTATTAGCGACGTCGTCGTTTTCGAAAAGCTCGATCCGTTTTCAAAATGTTTTCCGTTGACACTAAAACCGCCGACGTTTTCAAATTCCTCCAGTTTGAAGGGCGTTTTCCAAAAGTTCCGTTTTCGTGACGGATTAATGTAGACGGTAGGCCTAGTAAACATGGAATCCTGGAATTCGGAACAGGAACCGGAACCGGAATACCCCCGAATACCAAGGATTCTGGGTATTCCCAGGAGCCATAATCGGGGACGGAGACCGTAAGTCTCGGGATTCGCGCGCACCTATGATATGGGACAAT